TCTCATAGACCCAAGAACATTTACCCTAAACTAGCAAAAATCAAATAGTCGAACTTGCCTTATGTATGCAACGATATCGAAGCGAAATTAATTCTCCAATTGCCAGAAGACATAATTCATAGCCCCATATTCCAACGTGAGACCCGAATCGTAACTGAACCGGGTCAGTATGTTTACACAGGAATAGCAATTTTAGAAGTTAAAATACAAAACGAAGAACAAGAGAAAAAGCTGAAGGACTGGTCTTACAAATCGAGAATGGATGGCTTCAAAATGTGGGAAGGTGTAGAAATCTCGTTTCACATAGCTTCACTACATGAATGTCAAAAATGCAAGATGTCTGGACGCCAAGAAAAAGTCATCACGATGATTGGTGCAACATAGGGAACCAAATAACCAAAAATCCAAATAATCACTACCCACAAAAACCAAGCTCCAATAATGCCAGCGACGAGAAAAACGATGACAAAAGAACAAGCGATAAGTTTTGTAATGGTACCGAAAATGAAGAAGATAAGAATTTTGAAGCACCACCATCTAGAGTTTTGATTGATGATTCTAAAACAAATAGTGCAGCAACTCCAAGCGAAGAAAAACAAAAGGATGAGGTTCTCAACAATCAGGTCGTAGATTTTCATTGTTACTCTGCAAAAGAAAAAAAAGACAATTTAAATATCGAAAATAACAAAGGAAAATGTTCCTCTGACGGAAGAATGCTTACAAAAAGAGAGCGTGAAACTTCACCAACCTCTTGGTCAGTTTTAACACGGAAGAAAGGGCCAAAAAAGAAATCTAAACGGAGAAGACTTGGTTGGAGGGAAGTTTTAGCAAAATTTCTATGTGGGAAAAACCAGATATTTTTTCCGTTAATATTTTTAGCATAGGAAATCCAGCTAAATTACACTCACTTATCAAAAAATGCCAAATTTTAAAAAAATCGCCCAGTTTCATTTTGTGCTTTCAGGAAGGAAAAATATCGAAACTTACAAATATACATTTGAGTTTACTGGATAAATATAAGGTTTTATTCGATTTCATACCGGGCTCAAATAATCCTGGTGGTTTCTTAACGTTATGGTCATCAAACTAGAGTCCTGCAAAAAGAATTGCTTCAAGTACAGGTTTTCAATTGTTAAAGTTTGTCAAACTTGATTGGTTTGTTATCAACGTTTATGCAAACCCAATTTCATTCCAAGCAACTTTGAATTCCCTGAAATTAAGCATCAGATTTTTACCTAATAAATCAAAAATTATCATGATGGGTGACTTTAATGCGCTGAGTAATGATAATATTAACAGTTCTTCAATACTTAAGTTGAATGATGCACGTATCAAACGATTTACCCAACTCAAAGAACAAATTCTTGATTGTTTTGGTTTTGTTGATTTTGCACTCAAGCATGATTTTTGTGATTATACACATTATGAAAAACAACATAAAATTTTTGCAAGCATAGATTATGTTTTTATAAAATTCGAAACAGAGTATGATTCTATGCAAAGCATTCAAATATACTTTTCTGATCATTTGCTCTTACACATTTTTGTTAGCCATCTAACTTGTATCAGCGCGGCCCTAGTTACTGGAAATTAAATGAAGAAATTTTAAACAACAACGCGAGCTTAATTCGTGAAGATCTAAAAAACTTTCACGAAAAAGAATCACCAAGTAGTTACGAAAACTTTAAGCACAATTTTCGTGACCTTCTGAGGTTTATTCAAGAGAACAAAAAGCGTGTAGATCAGAAAGAACTTAATTTATTGAAGCATCACCAAAATGTTCTCAGAGATGGCATTCACAGCGGAAAAGGTCCGAAACCTATTTGATTGAAAAAAAATATCAATTGGTGCTGGAACATCTTCAAAAAGTTTTCAAGGAAAAAGATTTTTCAGATTATCGAAAAATTCAGAAAACTCTCAGCTATACATTCGAGGGTGTTCACAAATTTTGTAGTCAATGTACATCAAAGAACACAATTAACTCAATCAAGCGAATTCAAGTGGATCAGAACGTTTATCATACGGATGAGGATATTCTTAATCAATTTCGAGAGTATTTTTCAAATATTTTTTCAAATAGTTCTACAACAGACTCCGATCAACTACTAATGACATTTTTATCAAAAAATAAACTCGAAAAAAATGAGAATGATGGCTATAATTAATTTACAGAAGAAGAAATTCACTTGGCTATAAACAAATTGAAGTTGAAAAGCTCGCCTGGACCAGACGGCCTTACTTCTAAGCTATATAAGACTTTCACGGATGAGTTTTGTTCACTTTTAGCTAAAGTTTTTAATCATTTTGTTCATGGTGGAAAATTTCCAAACAGTTTTTATTTAGCAATAATCAAACTGCTCCCAAAATCTGAAAACGCAGTACAAGATTTTTGCCCCATCAGCCTTATGAATACTGACGCGAAAATCTTTGCCCATGTAGTCTGTAATCGAATTAAAAAAGACCTTTGCAAAGTTGTAAGAAACCATCAGCACGCGTATTTGCCTGGAAGACAAACGCACACAGCAATACGAAAGTTGGAAAAAGCGATTACTCCAAAACGATTGGCTACCCGAGGTTCATGTGCTGTAAAACTAGACTTTTCTAAAGCATTTGACAGAGTTGACAGATCACTTCTCATCAAAAAATTGAAAGGGTTAAACCTTGATGAGTTTTCACTTAGAGCTATTGAAACTTTGTATTTAGACTCGAAATTAGTAATTGAGATAAATGGTTTTTATCAGCCAGCTTCAAAATTCATCGAGGTGTTAGACAAGGTTGCCCTCTTTCCGCATTTTTATTCATAGTTTTTATCGAACCCCTTCTTCAAGCAATTGAATCTACAGAAGCAATTGAAGGTTTTGGGATATTGTGCCCCAAACTAGTTTCATATGCAGACGACATAATTTTCCTTATCAAAATCCGATGTATTGACAGGTTGTTTCGCTTAATCGATACAATTTGCAAACAAACTGAAATGATGATTAACATAAGTAAAAATGAAGTGCTTTCCATACCTGATTTATCACCCTATAAAACAGTCAAGGAAACAAAAAAACTTGGTGTCTTGTTTTACACTTCCCAAAAAGTTGAAAATATTGAACTTTTGTTGAGTTCTCAAATTCAAAAACATCGCGGGTTAATTTCACTAAGTAAAGCTTTGAGGGCCAAATCATTAACACGGTTAGTTTATGTTCTCCCTAAGTTTTTTCATTTGGCTCGTCATACTACAGTTACCTTGGATACTGTTAGTAAATGCCAATAATTATTAAATACAGAATTGAAAAAACCGAGCAGACTCGACATAAAAAAAGAAATTTTATATCACCCCATCTTAGATGGTGGGACAGGCTTACCATGCCTACAACTTAAACTTTTTAGTATGAAAATTATCGATTTCTTTGCTTCTGATATGTCAGATCAAAAGAGTTTATTACCAACAGATTCAATTTTACCGAAAGATATCAAAAATTTGTTGAGAAATACGAACATCTCTATTGAAATAAGTTCAAGTGATTTTGCAATATTTTCAAACAGTACCAATAGCCGTTTAATTATAACAATACAGACAAACTCGCGAGATGTTTATTATTTCTGCTTACGAAACTGTAGTTTTTAACGAGCTGCGATTTCCCGCTTGGGTTTTGCAGCAAACCGTTTCTTCTGTTCAGAAGAAAAAATGATTAAATTTACAGGCAAAGTTTGGAAAAATTCAATGCTTGTGATGTATGGGAAAAAAACGTTCTTTATAAAATTGCATACGCATACGCTGTTTTTAAATATCGAGAAAAGTGGTGGTTTTTATTTCTCGAGAATGCCCCCGAATGTTTCTATTGTAATTTAGAATGCGAAACATTCGAACACCTCATTTTCACTTGTCCCTCGCTACAACCTTCAAGAAACATATTACAGATTAACAATTGGCGTGACGTTTTTGCATCAACCAACATTGCAAGACTGTATGTTTTTGTATGTTGTTTCGGTTATTCGTGGTGCATATTCAAAATCATCGACGTCATGTAAAATCAACTTGCAATTATTTGTGTCATGGAAAGTATGGAACATAAGAAATACAAATTTCTCCATCTGATATAAACTACAAGGATATGGTAGACTTCAGCAGCAAACCATCCGGTAAAAGTAATGTCAATTGAACAAAAACTGCTAAGAAGTAGAAGGTAGATATATCAAGCCTACCAGGATACTCTGTATCCGGTACTAAAAAATGTATTTTGAGCACAAGTCACAGAAAGAATAAAAACAGTTTGCCGATCAGGACACCCAATATCCGTTTGAACAAAAAATGTACAGAAACAGTTCAGAAACTAAGGTTACTAACTTGATGAGTTGTTTTCGACAAATATGATGATAATTGATGTACATATTGATTATGAAACTCTCAACTAAAAAAATTATTATTTTATTTTATTTCTGTACGGGATGTCCAACAATTTTTCTATTTTACTACCGAAATATTTTGTCCAGTTTGAAAGATCGTTTGAAAAATCGCATTTAGGTTATCATGCTGGGTGACTTCGTGTAAGCAGGATTTTTTATTAACAACGATCATCAGAGATTGAGCATTCTATTCTACTATGTTTTGACTGATATCCCGGGCTGAGAGTCCGCTCATGAGCCGCTGAAGTATTGGACAATTTGAGCATGTTTTCAGCACAATTTGAGCGGCTTAAACATTTTGAGCGGTTTTATTAACAAACTTCTCAAACCGCTCAAACCTTGCTTGAAAAGCTGCTTATAAGTTGTTCAATAAATCAAAACCCCACACACGGCAAGACGACTCGAGGCGACAGTTGACATTGTTGCTACATTTGGAGTGTGCTCCAATCCGGGGCTTACATACATAGTTACATGCTATTAAAAACGTGCATACTATTGTTGGTACTCTTGCTAAGATCAACTACGAATCGGTGTGGCAAAATTGCGTCCTTCAACCGAAACTTCAGATAATTGCAAATAAGAATGACAACGAATTGAGAACTCACTCCAACAGACCGGCATTTGAGGAATTGCTTTGTAGTACCCGTGCTCACAGCTACAATTGAAGCCCCCTTCGTAATTCTCACAAAGGCTGTGTTCCTTGCACTGAGTAGCGCATTCATCTATGTCTAAATTAGATTTCAAAAATTATTTTCAAGCCACTGAAAGACATAGTTCACAAAGACATAGAAAGATTGTTGCTCCATCTTTCTGAACCTTATGGTCGAAAACTTTGACATTGTCTCGAAACCGATTAAGAAACATCAAACCTACTGTCGGATAGCAGCCATCACTCTCATGAAATAATTTGGAAGGGGTATAGTCCCTTTGGTATTATTTCATGCCAACATTTTTTGGTCGACCAACCCAAAGTTTTTCTAAAGGCGCCAATATATGCTAATTTTGAAGGTAACTTGCGCCAAAAAACGCATTTTTTTTGTCAAAGTTTTCCAGTCCAAAAAATTGCCAGAGACGGGATTCTTATCTTTTTTTTTTTTAAAATTTTCAAAAAAACAATTTTTTTTTTCAATTATTTTCGAAAATTGTCCACCCCACCTTCGAGAAAATCCTAGTTCCGCGCCTGCCTCCCTTGTAGCGTCTTTTAAACCTTTTATGAGTTTGAACCGAGTAGTCATCGCACAATAGGTATTCACTGTAGCCATGTTTTGTGTTCATATAGTTCTAAAACTATTAGGTCAGCCGTAACAAATTTTCGCAGAAAACGATTTCACAGCTTCGAGAAATTTTTATAATTAAACTAGCTAATTAGTCTAGCTCGCTAGATTTGCTTTGCGATTCTAAGAGCGGAAAAAATGAGTAGTTTTCCGCATCTGTGAGAAATTTAAGTTTACAGTCTTATTTGGGAAGTTCAAATTCAATTCTATTAAAAATTTTGATTTTAAGCATTTTACTGAGGTAATCATATGAAGAACTAATTAACCTTTCGAGGAACTGGTTAAACCGTAATTTCTTCTAAATACAATGTGTGGCCAATCCATATCAAAACCGCCACAAATTTGACTTTGTTTTTCCAAGTTTTGCCTACGGGGCAGAAAAATTGTCAAAATAGGGTCGTTCTGATACTTTCGGAGATCTCGAGAAGTGAATTTGGGGGTGGCTTAAAAAAATAAGCTGTCAAAATTGTCCACACAAAATTAAAGTTGAGAGCATTCATCCTCGAGGGAAAGAATCTACATACGAGCAGTAGAGCTCATCACGGCGAACCGCTGTTGTGCCCCTGCCTAAGAATTACATGCAAGTACTTTGGTAACTTTTCTGGGATGGGTTATGTTGCCTCACCCTCAAGCAACGAGCACGGATTATGCGACCTCTCGCGTAAGAGGCGGATACGTAACCGCTTCACCACCGCATCCTAAACTAAGCCGGTCGACAAAAATTGAACGTAAAACAGAACTAAAGGTTGGAACCAATGTTAGTGGGTTTTCTCTAAATTCGCTCCTGACAAAATGAAAAAGAAATTAAATTGAACGAGTTATCTGAAAAAAAAAAACTTTGAAAGTTTTAAAATGCACTACTACCATCAGTCTATCTTTTTGACCTTTTTCTTTGTTATCAAAAGGGCAAGAGTTTCGCCTTCTATAGAATTTACGCGGAGTTCAAAAAATATCTTACTTTTCGAGTTGTAATGTAACTGTTCTACTGACAAAAGAGGTTTTACCTATGCACATTGACTTGTCTTCGTTTGGTTCGTATCCCATGCCGCTGCGACAGCTGCACTCGTAACCGCCTCTGTGGTTGTGGCAGAATCCATGCATACACAAGGACGAGTCTTCCTCACACTCCACCACATCTTCTGTAGTCAAAAGCGCCAAAAATTACCACCTATAGTCAGATGTACTTTTTTGAATTCTACAGTTTGAACCTTCATGCTATAATTTCGTAATAGTCAGTAAAAAGACCGTATCCAGGCAAAGACCTGGAGAGTACGACCACGTGGGTTATAAAAGCAGTAAAAAATAGTCAATCCAAAATTTCAAATGAGCCAAGATTTTTTTTACACGTACTTTACACAAAAATAAGAAGGCAGTCGGAACAAAACGCTTGGCCTTTGCGTAGATGGAAGCAGTCTTTATGATTCGAGTAGGGGCAAAAACATTTTTATATCGGTATCAGTTGAATTTTTCAAAATGTGAAAAAATTTTCTCGAAAAAGATATTTGAGTTGTTTATTGGAGCTAACGAGCATCACTTAAGACCTAAATTATTATTCAATGATTCTGGACCAACCGCAGTATGATTCGTTTATCTTTCTAAATCCACTGACACATTCGCAAGTGAATGAACCATTGTTGTTCACGCACAAAGCACCATTATCCAGGTCACAGTCGTGTAACTCACATGCACATTCGTCAATGTCCAACTCGCACAATTGAGTTGAGGAGTCGAGAGTGAATCGGCTCTCGGCTGAGCAGTTGCAGCTGCCCTCCGGTAGAATACAGAAGCCATGAATGCAGTCGGAATCTTGAGAGCATGTACCTGAACGGCCCCACAATGGATAAGAGGAAAACAGAAGTGATTCAATTAGACTAATTTTCCGTTTCTTCATGGAACACTTTTTGGATTGAGACGTTAAAGTAACAGTAGTAGAAGAGTGAGGAGAGGTGGGGTTGGGTGGTTGGTGACCCTTATGTTTTAGAATAGGGAATGGAGCATCCGGTCACCAACCTATGTATTAAGATAGGGAAAAGATTTCCTATGTATTAGGGTAGGGAATATATTTCCTAATGTATTAAGATAGGGAACGTTAAGGTTTCAGTGTGATGCTAACATGGTAAGTTTCAGAAAAATTCCTCGGCGCCCCATTTTAACATGTTTTAAGATAGTGTATAAATTTCTCAACATAATATTATTAGACATTCAATGTAATAAGATCACTTTTGCCATGTATTAAGGTTTGAGATGGTAAGTTGGGGAGTTTCGATAAAATTTTGCCATTACTTGCGTTTCCTAGCTAACTCCTACGATTTAGCTGTTTTGATTATTGTTTTATATGTTTGAAACTATGAGAAAACTATGAAAAGCTAGACTGAAACCTAACAAAACTTCAAGAGAAAAATCAAGTTTTTGAAGAAAAAAAGTTAAATTTAAAAGATGAAGTATAAAAATCACTACTTCGTATAATCATTTTACCACAAGCTTACAGTTAGTTACTCAATACTGAATTGAATGCAGCTACACTATCATTTATTTTTAAGTTCAAAGGTTTTGTTTGTATCTCGTCATCCTCAACTTGTCTTTTCGGGTAAATGTAACCCAATCTCTTCTTTGTTTGCTCGTATATAGCAACCATATGATCCATGGTGCTAAATATACCGATAGGGCCATCGGCGGATTCCTCTAGAACTCTTTTATTCAATCTTTAGCTGCTAACTTTCATCTTGTCTGATTTGTTGTCATAGCAACAATAGGTTTTGCTACAAAAACATTGCAGCTCTGTACACCTTAATTCATCTTTAAACAGTCTAGGCTTTTGTTTATTGTATTTTTGTGAACGCTACAACATGTTCGTGGAAAAAAAAGTTTTCGAGTCTGCTCTAAATGAATCTCTGCAATTTTTTCTCTCAACTTTTCGCAGTCACCTTTTTCTCCTACCTAAGAGTTTCTCATTCTCTGCAACAACTCAGCTCGTACCTTTCTAGCATCAACAACTGATTGAACAAACTTGTTGAAACTTTTTCGAGGGAAATACTTTGAAAAGCGACGAGCTTTTGTACACGGTAAACCAAGTTTCAAATAGAAATTGGAGAAAGGAGTAATGATAGAAGCAATTTCTAGTTTGAAACCAGATATTAGCATTCGCTGGGGATGCTTAAGAAAATCAATTCCAGTTGCATAATTTTGTATATATTCCACGATATCAATTCTTCCAACTTCAGAGTTCTTGAGAATTGGAGAAAAGTTAGCAAATTTTGCTTTCAGTTCACCTGGAACCACCAAGTCACACTGAAAATTTCCATAAAGAGACGCATTTCTTATTTTTTCCAGTAAAGATTCAGTAGAGAGAGATCTTTTGTGGGGAAAGTTGGATCGGATGTGATTCCTAATTTTTTCGTTCGTTTTGAAGTTTAGCCACCACTCACATTCCCACATCTCTTCATTTTCGTATCTTTTTCGCAAATGCACTCCCGTGTCAAATCATCTGAATTTTGTTTCCTCTCCCAATAGTTTCATCTCCAATTGATGAGCGAATTTCTTGGCAAGGACAGAATTGGTAATAGCATCCCATCCCTTCAAACTCTGTTTTGCAATGATCGCAATATCCATCTACATTGAAAAAAAAAACAATTTTCTTTTGATATCCATATGAGTGGAAGGTCTCAATTCTGCATTCTGGTCTTGTTTCTTGGTGAAAAGACATTACCATGTTCTCAAATTTGCGGGATATCTTATGTCTAGTTTTAAGTTTTTGCATATCGGAAACAAACTCCCATCTTGTGTACAATCCTGTTGGCTTATCTTGACATTTGAATAGGGAGAAAGCTGGCTCGCATCAATTCCAACGGTTGATTTGCAGATATTTGATTAATCTCTGATTAAAGTTTCGTCCACTTTTCGAATACTAACAATTGATGGTCCACCTGTCATGTTCTCTCTAATTTTCTCGCACAAATCTGTATCATTTTCTGAAAATGGGTAGAATTTTTCGTTAGTTGATTGGTGCAGACAGATATTTGCCAGGTTTGGAAGAGTACATCCAACTTTAAGATATCAGTTTTTTATGATAAAATTGAACCATTTTTTGCATTGCTTCAATGGTTGTTGGAACAACATTTCTGTTGTTCTACCACTGAAAAAAATCTTTAAATAAAGTCATTCCATGTTTCTGCCAAATCTCCTGTAATTATTTGTAATTATCTCATCCAGCTGCTGATACTGTCTTGAATTGAAGTTTCTTCAAGGCTGGTTGCTCATCAAGTCTACTTGATCTCAAGTTCTGACAGTCTTTGGAGTCTTTATCAAGGGTGTTGTTGTTTCTCAGTTTACTAAAAAAGGCTTCGTATGGAGTGAAATCTTCATTCTCGAGAGTAGTAGATGTTGGAGCTGAATTGGGGGGGGGGGGGGGGGGGGGTCCCTGCAGACCCACATTTATTAAGATAGGGAATAGAGCATCCGGTCTGCAGGCTATGTATTAAGATTGGGTATAGAGTCTACAATGTATTAAGATAGGGAATACCGATTGTAAGGTTTCAGTGTGATGGTAAGAGAAAGAAAAACGAAAATTTTTTGTTCATTTTTTTCGCAAAATTTTTTGGCGCGCGTTATCTAATTGGGAACAGTTAATTATTAATTACGTGTAGATTGTAGAATAAAGGTTATGTAATTAGTTTTTTGGTGCATGGTAAGTCAATGGTAAGAGTTTTTGTGCAAAAACTTGGAATTTTTATCAAAAAATTTTTTTCGAAAAAATTCAAAACACGATAAGATTTTGTTTAATTTGATCTAATAAAAATTTATTAGATACTTTTACTTTCTACCTATCTGAATCTATTCTGAACCTACAGAGACATTGAAAAAAATCGAATTTTTTGAGAGAAAAAAATTAAATTACAAAGAAAGTATATAAATCACTGCATCGTATAGTAAACTTACTGTCATAATTTACATTTTATTATCATGAAACCATAATAATATGACATCTTATATAATTTAATACATCAGAAGAATTCCTATAAGTCCAATGGTTTTGTATGAATTACATTATCTTGCACTTGTCTTTTAGGATAAAAATAACTTAGTCCTTTCTTTGTCTCTTCATATGTAGCAACCATTTGATTTATAGTTCTGAATTCTCTATTAGTAGATTTTAAGTTGATAACTTCATCGAGTACTCTTCTATACTTTGCTAAAGGTCCATCTCCAGAGTCTTCTAGAACCCGCTTATTCAATCCTTTGCTGCTAAATTTGAATTTGTCTGACTTGTTGTCATAGCAGCAATATGTCTTACTACATAAACAGAGCTTTTCTGTGCACCTAAATTCTTCTTTGAAAAGTCCCGGCTCCCGCTTATCATGTTTCTTATGGATACTACAACACATTCGAGGAAAGAAATTAGATTTTGCATCCGCCTTGAAGGAATTTCTGCAATCACTCTCCCTCATTTTTTCCCAAGCAGCTCTCTTATCTGGTTGGATGCAATCGTACAAATTTTCTTCTGCAAGTGCCAAGTAAAAAGAGTCTGTATCCATCTCCAACTCTTCAAATTTTTTCACATCACAGAACTTGTCAAAGAAGTTATAGTAGAGTTCCAACATTCTCAGTTTTGCATACTGAAGTATGAAAAAACCAACAATGATGGGTTCTCTGTGCTCAATGGTTAACTTCAATAACTCCACCTCATATAAGTCCTTCTCAACTGTGTTAAGTCTCTTAAACAGTGGTTCATTAATTGCCTTATGAGTTTTTTCATCGTTGAGATATTTTGTGATTGTATGTCTCGATCTATCCATGATCTGATATCCATAGGAGGAATTGCCCAAGAGCTTCATTGTTTCTGCTACAACTCCTGACAAAGGGTTTTCATCTCCTTCTCTTCTTGCATCAACCACCGATTGAACGAAATTATTGAAACACTTCCGAGGAGAGTATTGAACAAATCGGTAAATTTTGGTGCACTGTAATCCAAGTTCCATATAAAAGTTGAAGAGAGGAGTTATAACTGTTCCATTTTCCAGCTTGAAACTAGATATCAGCATTCTCTGAGGATGCTTTAACATTTCGTTCTCGATCGCATAGTTTTTCATGTAATCTCCATTATCATCTCTTCCGACCTCAGTATTTTTGAAAATTGGAGGAAAATTCGCAAATTTCGATTTCAGTTCATCTGGAACAACTAAGTCACACTGAACGTAACCAAAAAGAGATCCATCTTTTATCTTTGCTAGAAGAGAGTCTGTAGAAAGGGGTCTTTTGTAGGGAAAGTGGGTTCAAACATGATTTTTGATCTTGTCATTGGTTTTGAAATTTTGCCACCACTCACACTCCCACATTTCTTCAACTTTGTATCCTTTCTCTTGAATGTATTCTCGTCGCATATCATCCATTTCTCTCTTCTTGTTTCCTCGCTCGATATCCTGTTCTGTTAAGGAGGGACGAGCTTCTTGACAGGAACAGAAGTGGTAATAACAACCCATTGCTTCGAATACTGTTTTACAGTGATCACAATAAGCGTCCACATTAAAACAGTCAATTTTCTTCTGTTTTCCAGATGTAAAAAAGCTCTCAATTTTACATTCTGGTCTTGATTCTTGATAGAAAGACATGACCATATTCTCAAAGTTGCGAGTTCGATTATGTCTAGCCTTGAATTTTTGCATATCAGTGTCAAACTCCCATCTCGTATACAGTCCTGTTGGCATATCTTGACACATTGAATAGGGGTAAAGCTGGCTTGCATCAATTCCAACGATTGATTTACAAACATTTGATGAATTTCTGATGTATGTTTTATCAACTACAGCTTTTCGAGTGAACACAAT